CCATGCAAGATGTGTAGCCTTCTCACATTAAAAATGTCATCAAAAGCACAGAGCCTTTGTGATAAGCCAAACCAGCTACAAATATTGAAAGGAAAAAACATGCAGTGACTGGCAGCTGGAAAGGGCATCACAGCCCAGGTTTGCTGTGTTGCAAGAATGATCTTCCTTCCATCTCTCCCACCTTTGAGTGATGTTTAAAACTAACAGCTGAGTAACTTAATGTCTGGAGTTTTAATGGCTCTTACTAAAGTAGAGAGACCAGGAAATCCCACCCCTGAAAGTGCTGCAGAGACAGGAGGCTCAAAGGCCAGAGTGAGACAGGTGTGTGACCACCGAGCCCAGCAAAGCACAACAGGATAAAAACTCACACAGCCTTGCTGGGAACATTCTTTTTCTAGGATGGGACAAGTAAGAGAGGAGTCAGAACATCCTTCCAGCATGTTTCCAGAGATGAGATGGGCATTTCTGTAGCAAAACCAGTATGAAGCAGGGAGTGTTTGTCTTCTGAAGGCTGTAGCAGCACGTGATCTGCCAATGCTGTTCATCCCATTCATTCACCTCCTGAGACACTGTCTTAGTGACCACAACACAAATACCCCAATCAAAAGTAGGCTGATTTTGGCCAACTAGGGTATCACAAGAGGCTGTCCTATTCTCAGAGTCATAAAACACAGTAAGACAAAAGCAGCACTGTTCTGATCTTACAGGTGAGGTGGCATTGCTGGACCAATGGCACAGGAAGTCACAAAAGCTCCAGCAACTGAGTGCAGGTCTCTTTGCCAGGTCTTGCAGACCACCCTTCTCAGTGAGCCTCAAGGAGGGCAGTGTCCCAAGCAGGACAGGACTGTACCTCAACCTGCAGCTGCTGCAGCAAAACCATTGCTCAGGAGAAGGGTTATAATTGGGATGTCTCTGGGTTTGCTAGAAGTTGGAGGCAACCATCCAGGCAGCAGAGAGCCAGAGATTAAGTTGCCATTGAAACACCAAGCTAGAGACTTTATCCCTTCCTTCAGACAGACAAATGGCATGGGAGTTTTAAGCACAGCAGCAGTTTCAGCCAGACTGCTGGAGAGCTGCCCGTGCACTCTGTGGCGTGACAAAGCAAAGGCACAGCCTTTGGTGTGCAGGAGCTGAAGCCTTCACCACACAGACAGAGAGAGTTCAAGAATAGATCTGCTGAGGGAGAGCCTCCAGCCAAGGCTGCTCCAGAGCAACTCAGCACCCAAGCTAAATAAAGAGTCTGGGGTGGAGGGCAAGAACAGAGCGGCTCATCCCATCCCGGCCAAGATGACGACACTCCTGCTCAAGAAGTTCCCCTGCCAGATTCCCAAGAGCAAGTGACTGGACAGCAAGGACATCACACAACCCAAGCTGCTAAGCTGGGATCTCACAGATCCTCCTCTGTCAAAGGCCTGACCCTGAGCTGCAGTTTGTGCAATAAGGGAAGGAAACATAACACGAGTGAACGGGAGACAGGAAGCAGATTAAATCCGTGTCTGGCTACACCAATGTCTGCTTGTAAGCAGAGTCTCTCTGACACAGAGCCCCTCTCAGCTGTCACCACGAGGCTGAGAGATGCCTTTTTTTGGCTGATGTCCCTTTTGCTAGTAAGCAGCCTGATAACGGGTGCTGGCAGAGTCGAAGCTCTCCCAGATATGGTTGACTCCCTGTAAACAAGGAGATGAAAACAGCTTGTTTCGAATCACAGCTGGGAGAAATGCTATAAAGCCAAAATAATGCCAGGGCATTGCTGACATTTTGCATTGCTTTCAGTCATACACTGTGCCCTCCCCTTCAATTCAAGCTCAGGCACCACAAATCTCACTGGAGAAGAACAGGAGAAGGCCAGAAGATCTTTAAGTTTATCTTTCCAGCAAAAAAACCCCACTGATATATTTATATCACTTAAACAACCACGAGGACATAGAGAACCTGAACATTTCTAGGCACTACAAGACCTGGAGTAAGCCTGACCTTGCCTGAAGCCAGACTTCCAGAAAACCCCAAAAAAGAGCTGGTACAGAGAAGGTAAGGAGGAAACAGAAACAAGTAGGGTACCCAAGTTGGGTTTTCTGCTCTGCTCATCTTCTGCAGGGATTTTCAGAGACCTGTCAAAGGAAATTGTGCAGCATTGTGGCTCATAAAAGCTTACAAGCCCCTTCAAAGCCAGTTTCTTAACAGAAAAGAGAAAACAAGTACAATTTGCAAGGAAATGCACTAGCAAGTGAGGTGCTGAATAAAAGAGGCACTACACTGCCTTGGGACTTTGGGAACTGACTGTCTTATTTGTATCCTTGGGAGTTTTCATCTGAAAACAAGAGAGAGATTGGTGTTTCCTAAAGACACAATATTCATTTTGGTGAAAGAGGAGGGGAGAAGTATTTTAAAATAAAAGTAGTTTTAACTTCAGCCTGCCTCTGAAAGCCAGTCCATGCTCCCCTGTGGGCTGGCAACATAAGAGTGATAGGCTGCTGTGTAGGCTCAGGAAATAAGACCTCAGCCACACAACCAGGGTTACCAAATGTTGCCCACAGCAGTTACATGACCAAGATCTGTAATTTTCAGCAGCTGGTTTTCAGTTTGTTGTCACAAAATCAGATGCACTGTCAAAAACAACAACCTGTAAAAGATGTCTGGGATGGAGATAACTTGACCAGCAGCCCACTTGACTCTCAGGAACTCAGTGGCTTCAGCTTCGTTGTCACTTGTTTTTGGGGCTCTCCCTTTTGGACAGTGGCAGGAGGGGAAATTATCAGGAACCTGCTCTACCTCTTGTGGGAGCTGAGTGGGCTCCAGCATTGTCAGCACTTTCTGGAGGTCCTTGGGAAAGAGGTCCAGGGTCTTTCCCTACTTTAAGCAAGACTGTCCATGGTGTGGGATTAGAAGACAGACATTATAGTCATTTCCTTGGGAGGGTTCCATTCTCTTCACTTGCATTTCCTCCCAGCTCAAAGGCAGCAGAGTGTTGGTGTCCCCCCATCTCTCCTGGTGAGTTTCTTCATGGTGATCATCTTCCAGAAATGCAGCTCCTGCTAGCTGAGCTTTCACCACCAGCTGAGATCTTAAATATCAATAGTCCCCAGCTTCTTTCTGTGATATTTTCACATAGAAAGAAAAATTGAGATTGTCTGCTGCTGTTCTGTATTGTCTCCAAACAATTGGACTCAACAGGCAAACAAACCAAACTATATTTGAAACTGAAAGTGTTCCATGAACAACAACATCCCAACAGCACACACTGCTCCTAAAGTCTCAGGGTTAATGCAAGAATCAATGTATAGGAGTAACTGCAGGAGCCCACAGAAAGAATTTTTACTGGGAACATGATCAATTATTTGGTACTTAGGAAACTACAGTTATGTTAACAAGGAAAAATAAGCAAGACTTTTGGCAAGTTTAGGAGACAAGGTGAAAGCTCACAAGTTTCTAGTGACAATTATGTGAGTAAAATGTCTGTGAAATTAAAAAGCTCCAACAGAAGTTTGGCCATGACAATTTAAAATATTAAGTGTTTCAACCACAGCCTTGCATAAAGACCAAAGAGACACCAAAGCAGATATATTACAAGTGAAAAAACTGAGACTGACCACTGGCCAAGTGGAAACTGGAGACCCAACTGTGGTAACAGCCACGTGCAAAATGTGAATTCCAGATGAAGTGTCACAAGAACAGATTGGGAAGGTCGATCTCAGTCTGCAGTTCAATCACAGTCAGGTTATCAACTACAGGAGGACCTCAAACAGTCCCCTGTGGGTGAATTGGTAACAATACCAATAAAATGACTGAGCTTTGAGAGCTAAGGTATGGTTTGTCTACATGGGAATGAGTTTTAGAGGTTAGGTGCAGATTTAGAGCACAGTGGCTTTTTTTGCCCCGATTCCCAGGTGGGTGGGTGACACTGTCCTGCTCTGAGAATGCCTTTCAGAGAAGGCAAAGCTCAACAGTGCAAAGACACTTTACTGAAAGGTGGTAGCTGAGGACAGCTATTTCACACTAGTTTGTTTTTTTTTTTCCTTCTTAAACGTAGGTGGGTTCCAAGACTGTAGATGACTGAGAGTCAAAGCAGGCTCAGGGCAAGTTTTTGACAAGTTGCTGCTTTTAAGCTTTGTTTCTCATCTGAGGAGAGGGACATTGTGTTTTAACACATCTCTAAAGGATACTGAGATGCAGGAAACCTAAGGAAATTCCACTCTGAAAACACAGGGCACGTTACCTTCGTCCATCATCAGCTACAAGGAATTTGATCCCAGGTTTCCAGTGTGTGTGATCAATATTACCCCTAAAAACCTGAGTATGAGGACTTGATGCCAACAGGTCACATGGAACAATTGATACAGCAACTCTGCTAACCCTGTTCAGTCACACTGAACATTTATTTACTTTCAGGTCTGACTGGCAGCAGCCTCCTGTGTGAAGTACAAACTGGCATTTCAGCCTAAAATGAGCTCTTTCACAGAGCTTGTCCTAATCCTGATGCCTTCAAGTTGAATAATCTGTCCCCAGGCTGAATTTTGTCTCCTTTTGTAAACATAACTGATGTTGTCAGATAGCCTCTACAATAGAAGTTGCTTAATGAAAAGAACTTTGTGTTTCAAGCATTGTGTGAGATTACATCAACCAAATAAATAAATATGCCTTAGGCAGATGGAGAATATGTATTAGATGGGGGGTTCATGTAAGTTTTACTGTATAAAAGGTGTAACGTTTTACCCCTTGGTGTACTTGATTTGTGGAAACCTCTACCTTGCACAGAATAAATAATGTCTCATTTCTAAACTATACTTTGTAGCATTGCTGCTGATTTTAGGAGCTCTCTAAACACAGACACACTTACCTCCACATGTGGTTACTCTGCAGTTAACACCAGTGGCACCCCTTTATTACAGCCCCACAAAGCAGGTTCTCACACCTGATGTCAGCCCTCCCTGCAGTACTTACCAGCCACCCAACTGAACGGGAAGGGCAGCAAGATTTGGGCTGTGAGACAGGAAGATTTTTACCTCACTAAGTTGGCACAAGGTCCTGGCCACCGGCAGCTCTGATAAACCCTCTGGATCACCGTTTCTGAGCCGTTCTGCACCTGGCAGGAGACTGTCCTTGTCACTGTGTAGTGACACCAGTGCCTGCAGAGAGAAAGGACACCGTTAGCCCCAGGAACACAATGAGCTGGACCAAGGTACAGCAAAACCAGAGCAAGTATCTGGGGGTGAGGTTCTTTCTTCCACCAGCCACAGCCAGGCTAACTTGCAGTCTTCATTCCTCACCCCACCCTCCCCTCCCAATAGCTGCAGAAAGATTCCCAGCTTCTGCCAACCTGAGCCACAAGAGATCCACTAACGCCTCTTGCTTGCTCCTCAGAGGCCAGGGTTTTATAGTACATAATTTGGTTCTGCCACTTATCAGAAACAATAGGACTTGAGGGGAAGAAAAAAAAAGTCTTCCAAATCTCCTGATAGTCAGTTCCCATTGTACTGATCTTAATTTCATCCTGCTCGTTATGGGATCACTCTCCAGCCTCCCACCATTCTGAACAACAGCAGTTAGAAAATTCTGGTTTCTGGTGTGGAGGAGCTTATTGTCAGCAGGGCTCAGCCAAGTTGGGTGCTGGACAAGTCCTGCTGCTGTCCTGGTGAGGTTACAGTCTGAAAGAGGGCAAGGAAAAGTGCAGGGGAGGGAGGGATGAGTGTCTTAGGCTGTCTCATAAGAAAACAAGAGAGAGACAGACCTCCTTGCTGCAAGGTGTGTGAGACAGAAGGAGCTGCAGTATCAGGCTGAGGAAATAGGATCTACAGACCCCTCAGGGACTTTCTCTGAAAAAACCCCCCCCAAAAAAACCCCCAAAAAACCCCAAACAAAAAACCAAAACCCACAAAAAAAACACAGGAAAAAAAAACACCACAAAATGCTTTTAGGTTCCATTGACATGCTTGGGGGGGGGGAAGGATACTTTCATTTTTACTTTCGTGCTTGTCAAATACTGGTTCACGTTTTTTTGGGAATGCTTTGGTATGGGATGTTTTGTGATGCTTTGGTTCCTCAGCACAGTTATAACAGGTTTGAGATGCACTTTCCTACTGCTTGGGAATCAGAACTGGGGTCATTAATGGGAAGTGGAGATACCAGCCTGTGCTCCAAAACACACAGAGTGCTTGTGTAAGCATTCCATGCTGAATCAGAGGAGTCCTGGCTCCTCACCCTTCTTAAAGCAAGAGCTCCCAGTACATCTGATCCCTTCTCCAAGTATCACAGTGACTCCCCAGCCTTGCACACCAAAAATCAAATTGCTTGCACAGTGGAAATGCACCTGTACATCCCCCTCTCCTTCCCTAAACCACCTTCCCCATGGTAGTTTAATTTCCCCAGTATTTGCCATTTACAGCATTTATTGCTTTTTCTCCCCGTTTTGGATTCCCCTCCCATCTCTGCAGGAGCCTCTGCTCTCTGGATAGCTCCCATTTCCATGAATAGGAGGCACACATGCCAGAGGCTGAGCCAACACCACAGACCACAATGGGGCCAGTGAGCTGCTCAGTGACCCTTCAGCTACAGCTGGATGGGCACCCAGGGCACCCAGGGCGAGGGGACTGTGTGCCCAGTGCCACCAGCCCTGCAGCAGTGACAGGGCAGAGCTCTGCAGCTTCCCCTGCTCACCACTAACCCTTTTGGGATTCCTTGTTGGGAAGCATGGATTAAAGGCACGTCACAGGTGACCCCAAGCAGGTGGGGAGGTCTCACAGAACCAGCTCTCTCAGATTTATGGAGGATCTGTGGTGGATATACAGGGATCAGGCACCCTGGTACCCAAATGTCTCTGCTGACATCCACAGCATAGAACCAGAGAGCAAAATGGGGAAAAAGAGGAGGTTGATGAAGCTTCAGGTCACCTTAACAGGCTCAACACAACCTCCACACATAGTTTAGGGAACAAAACCAGAAGAAACAAAGTCAGGAGCTAAAGACTGGAAATGTGATCATTCAAAGTAAAGTTTTTCTCTTTCATTTCACTTGCACACGTGATGCAATCAGCCATGTCACCTCTCCAAGCCTTAGTCATGGGGTTTATCCAGATGGGTAGTGTTGGAAAATATCTCCTCATGCCATGGGAATGGCCAGTTGAGTGTGGAAGGAAAAGCAGCCAGGAGAAAGGGTGAGAACACGAGGAGCTCTGGCTGATCTACCTTGAGCCCACTGCTCACAGCAATCACAGGGACAGCACTTGTGCACAAGCCTCAGGGCAAAAGCACTTCATGTCAGGTAAAACCACCTGCACACACACAGACCCTGCCAGGATAATGCCAGAAATATCTGTCCTGAAATTATGGAAACCAAAACTTCTCTTTAAGATGTGAAGAGGAAAGAAATTGTCCCCACCACAGGAGAGGAAGGAAGCAGGAATATCCACTCTAGCAACATGTAACAGAGCATGAAGGGGGATAAATACTAACAAATTTACAGTGGAGTTACTCAACGTTTTAAAACAGAGTACAATTATCAAGGGCTTGAGTGCCTCTCCTCACGTTAAGATCATTTTTCTGGATTGTCAATGAAATCCAAATAGATATTTATTTACACATGCAATGCTTTAACTGTTATGTAGCTTATATGTCTGTCCCTCTGGCCTTTTCCCAGAGTTATCTGGGAACTAGTACTGTTTCCATGGTGCAGAGCTGGATTATCCCACACTGATTATTTCACTCTAATACTGATTTTGGGAGGCTTCTGAGACAACTTGTCCCACCTTCTTGGGTACAAACAAAGCACTTCTGTATGAGATTAAAAAAAAAAAATAAAAAAATTCAACTGTACTCTGAACAAACCCCTCCATATCTGATGCTGAAGATAGGGAGCTTCATATTCCTGAAGGGAAATGAGGTGAACAAAGATGAACAGCCCAGCACACCCCAGAAGAGAAAGGCAGGGGATGGAAGTAGACTCCACAATTGCCAGAGGGATTCTCTCAGCTTATCTGCTCTGCTTAATATATAATGGCAGCTCAAAACTGCAACTGCCAAGGAGAAATTGGAAACTAATTGTTACCCTCTTTAGTCTTCCCTTGCATAAACTCAGATTTAATGCCATCTTGTTCCTTCAAGGATTATTTTCAACCAGCTTGGGGGTCTAGCACTACATTTGTGGATCTGGAGCTGAACAGGTGGCACTGTGCAGGTTGCCTATGTCAAAAACTGCAGGAAAGGTTGATTGTTTTGCACCATGTACAAAGCTGGTTTTGCCAGGGTTTCCATTCAGCAGGTGGGGCTGGAAGGCACATAGATTTTCTTTCTAAACAAGCTCAAACCCACTGTTATCTGAGTAGGTCTCACACCTTTGAACAGCTTATTCCAAGGACCAGATAGAGCAGGTCCAAGGAATTTGGCAGTCAAGTTGTAACTTCTGCCTGGGAAAAGCCTTCCACAAAAGTGAGATGTGGTGAACAGACCATGTTACAACTTAGTGACAGTCTTGGGCAGCAGCTGGAGGTAAAGGCTGTTCCCACTCTACAGCCCACAGGACAGAGCACGCTGGGGTGGGGAGAAACCCAACACTTCCCCAGGTTCATTTCTCCACATGACCTGCTCAGGGACCTGTTATAAAAGGGATCAATCATTAGAGGAAGTGAAAAGCTCCCCTGAAGCTCTCCATTCACTGCTTTCCTTGCCTGAAGCCATCACCTGGGTTTGCCAGGCTGAACAGGACTGGTAGCCCAGGGCAGGATAACAGACCTTTCACTCCAACCTAGGGACAACCTTTCACCTCCCTGAGCAGGAGCACAGAGTGCAGTGACAGTGATAAAGCAGCACACCACTCATCACCTCAGCACTATGAGTCTTCTCTAAAGGAGTGGATCACAAGGGCACAAAAAAAAAAAAAATTTAAAAAAAATAGTCAGACCCCAAAGATACTCAGCTAATCCAATGTGGACACAGATTTCTCCAACTTCTCTCTTTACCAACAGAAAGAAGAGGTTGGTTAAAGATACCCACAGCCAGGAGTGAAAGGTACATTCCTATTGATAAAGCATCACACTCTTGGCTTTCCATAAATGACATGATTTTCCTACAAATGCAGCTTTTAGGTATCTTTTACTGTGGCACACGAGCAGGTGAGGCAGACAGGAACACAGCTGATCAAGGATGCATTAGGATGTACAGCTTGGAACTCACTGGAGATGTAAGAGCACAGTGATTACAACAGAAAGAAGACAGACAGACAAAACCACCCCAAGATTTCTCTTTGCAAGCCAGAAGTCAGCAAGAACAGCCTCCAGAAGGCAAGTAGGCTTCACACAACGTGACGAAAGGCCCCATCACGGCTTAGGGAGATTATAAATGACCCTTTATATTATATACAGATGCTAGGAGGGAAGGTTTAGGACTTCTACTGGCACACATCCAGGATGGCAGAGAATACATTGCTGCTTATTCCAAGAGAATATTCCAAGCAAGCAAACAAAACAATCCAAACAGCAGCTCCTTTAGGGTTGGGTCTGTCAGATCTCTGGGTGCTCATCACCAGCATATTTAGAGTGATGTCCTGCAATGTCACAGGGAATTGGTCTTTGCTTAGAGAGACAAGTTTCACTGGGGCCATTGCCCCCAGCCTTTTCCAAAGGGACACCCTCCTCTCACAGCCTATTTAATTCTTGGAAGACTTTCATGGGCAACAGAGACCGTGGCCCACAAGCTACTGATTTAAACAGTTTCACTCTGGGGCTACAGACCAAGATCTCATGTCTTGCTCACAGCTGACATGTTTTTCCAGAGGGAATATGGCTGTTGATGCCAGCAGATGCCCAACTGTATTTAGTGTGTAGGTTCAGGATGTTACTGTGGACCTTTCAGGCTAAATGGAACAACAAAATCAGTAGTTTATTTCCACTTGGACACACTCTGAAAACTATTCTGAGCTTAAACAGACCCCTCCCTCAGCAGATGCTGGGAGGGAGTTGCCTGCTCTCTGCTGACTCAGCATGAGCAGTGATGCCTTCAGGCACTTGGACACTGGAGAAGACAAGAAATTCTCACCTTCCAGGGCACAGGTCAAGGGATCTCAAGGGGAAGTTGGACTTACACAGAGAGCTGGAGCTGCAATTTGATTCTGATGCCAGAGAGGAAGCCCTGTCTGC